TGAAATTCGTGGAAATAAAAATTAAATCATTTCCAAATAACAACGCTTTAGGTTGTAAATCTAGAAACCATTGGCGTGTTTAGGCATAATATTTTTCTTCACATTATCACTAAACATTTTAATAACTGTTTATAATATAATAATTCTAAATAATTTTTTAATTTTTAATATTTTCTATTTTTGAGAAGAATAAAAAACAATAATGGCAGTGGATAAAATTAATAATTTAAAAATCCAAAAAAGTATGAAAAATAAAAAAATACTTTATATTTATTTTAATACAATTAATTTATATTTTTTATAGAAAAAACATTAACTGTATATTTTTTTTTTTTATGTAAATCATAAATTTTTTTCAATTTAATAATTTTCTCAACATTTGTATGCATCATATAACAGAATCTAATTAAGATTTTAAAGGTAAAAAAGGATTAGTGTGTTTTGCGTAATCGTGTTACTAATTTAGAGCAAATTCGGCTTATGAATTTTAAGTCAAAAATAAAAGCGCATATCCTGTTGGATCTAAAGAATATTTTCATTTGTGCCACTACATATAATTATTTGAATTAATTATTTAGTGATATTAATGATAACATCATATTTTATTTATTTAATAAGGCGTTTTTAAATCATTAAAAAAAAAAAAAAATGCCATACAGCTGTGATGAAAAAATAATAATTTATTAAATGCGTGTCAAAAATTGACATTAATTTATAAATATCCTAAAAAGTAAGAATAAAAGTTGTTTACTAGAAATAAATCTAAAATTCCATAATACAATAATTTTTTTTATTCAAAATTGAATAAATTATTACACGCAGAAAAGCCTAGTCTTAAAAATTACTATGTTAAAAATACATTTTCACTAAGTATTTTTCTATAAATGTACAACCTTAGGAATAATTTATTTTGTTTTTTGCCAAAAACTCACGGTTAAACGGTCTTTTTCCGATGAACTTTGTGTCACACAAACACATAATATAATGTATTATCTGTTAGTTCGAATAACATAATATTGTATTCATATTGTTTAGTACATAACGGTTTATGCTGATATTTACCGGTTAATATGTGCACATTAACTACACCTCTGGGCTATAATTAATATATTTACTTAATTTAAATATTAAATTAATAATAATATTTAATCAACGCCTTTGATCTCAAACGTTAACCTCCCAACTTTATCCAGATAATACAATATTGACTAGGTACCAAGGGATAACTGCATAAAAAAAAAATAATGTAATATGCGCATTATTATTATTTAACGGTGTGTGAACGTGTTAGAGGACAACATAATTACACTTTATATAATCATTAAACCATGGTTTTAGTGTTGTTTGTTAACTAAGGGTATAAAATATACAGTGAAACTTCTTTATAGTGGACAGTCCAGATAATTTAAAACCGTAAAATTTGATGAAAAAATAAATAATGTTTTTTTTAATATTTCATTGCATATATCTTACCTATATTAGGTATGTTAAAAAAAATATATATATACATACGATTGACTTATTTATTTATTTGTTTATTTAAACCGACGAACCCTATTACAATTATTATAGGCATACGTCTAGGATTTTGATATCACATTATTGTTTATCTTGAATATAATATTTTACATTATTGCGTGTGCAATAAAAATATTAATTTTTTTAAATAGCAACACCTATTTTTAATTCCATATTCGGATAAACCTAAATTTTTTTAAGTAATTTTGATGTATCAACTATGGTTTTAAATTAAAAATTGACTGAATAAAAGCCATTTCCTTTTTAATAAATAAATACATTTTTACGATATATTTAAGTGCATAAAATCATTTATAATTATTTATTATTGGTTAATTTTTGAACATTTTTATGTATTTTTTTTTTTTTTTTTGTACGTGTTATAAATAAGATTTACATAATATGGATATACAATTACTATACATATCATACATTTTTTTGTTACATATTATTTATAACAGTTATTTTATAATTATATATAATTTATTAAATAAATTGCTCAAAGTTTCCTCCACTATTTTCCACACATAATTGAAATAATTTTAGACATCTTCTGTTGGTTACTGACATTTTTTGACTTTCAGTTATGTTATTACGCAATACACGCAACCACGATTTAGTTTTTTAAATCTGAAAGACTAATTGCGGAAGATCTTTTAAACTATCGCTTTTAAATTTCCCATTAAAAAAAAAATCAAATGGCGTAATATCTGGAGATCTTTCTGGGCATTAAATGGGTCTTATTTATAACACAGATAAAAAAAAAAAAATGTATTTGTAAAAACATTAAAAATTAACCAATAATAAATAATTATAAATGATTTTATGCACTTAAATGCATCGTTAAAAATAAATGTATTTATTTAATAAAAATGAAATGACTTTTATGCAGTCAATTTTTAATTTTTAATTTAGAACCATAGTTTATACATCAAAATTACTTAAAAAAATTAGACATATCCGAATATGGAGTTCAAAATAAGTGTTGCAATTCAAAAAAAAATATTTATTGCGCATGCACGTACCAAAATGATAAAAAAATTTAAATTGATCTACAAATGTGTATGTTATATATACCACTAGCTTGCAAATAAAATTCAGTTTATTCCAATTTAATCCGGCCGATAAATTCAATGTTCCCTAAATTGGTGAACACACGGTATTTACGGAAATTGTCCTATCTAGTGTTGTGTATAATATTTTTACTAGACTACTTACGACTGATATTTAAAATATTTAACACTTAATTTTTTTTTTGCTAATCAATCGTGAAAATAATTAAACCAAGATAATTAACATTGTACAATAAATATGATCATGTATTTAATAATTTATCGGTCGTGTGGCACTATAATATAAGATTAATTAATTATTAAGACCTAGTTTTGACATTATTTTTAAATTGAGATCAATTCATTTTATTTGCATCCACTATTGCGAATATTTATTTATGAGAGTTTTCATTATTAAGAAAATCTTACAACTTTTATATTATATTTATATTTTTTTTAAGGAATTTAAAGGTGTCTAATATTAATAGTTTCTTTACTTTTTTAAGTGTCTAATAATATAGGTTTCATGCCATAATGGAAAAAAAAGCTGCTATAACAGCTAAATATAAAATACGTACATATATGTACGTATTTTATATACCATCATATTTTCTTTGTAATATTTCAAAAGTGAATGCGTATATTTATCATAATCTTGAATCATCACAAAAGTAATGAAACTCGATTAATATAAATAAGACTATTTAAAAATTAAATATTTTCGAAATTTGAAAAATCTATGTAGTATTATAGTATTACTTTTAAATAATTATTTTTATTTGTCATTTAAAATTTTTCAGTTAATAGCTGACTTTTTATAATATTGCAGTTCAATTAAAAGATTTATTTCTACACACAATCAAATAACATTATCTATAAAAATGAATTATTATTTTTATAATGAATGTAGACTTATATTGTTTTTAATATAGTATTAACCAGTTCGTGTGAAAATATTTATTTATGATATACCTGTTGCGTATATTAATACAACCGATATTATAATATATAAGTTAATATTATATCGATCTTTGTACATATAGAAATTATTATGTGCTTAATTGATAGAATATTGCAGCTAATATGCTCTGGTATTATAATATCTACTAAGCAAAGTATAACATATTAACATTTTGGGAACGTAGTTACTGCACAATGATTACTTTTATATTGTTTCATAAATGTAATTGTCTACAATTGCTAAACACCTGTTCATTAACATACTGCAATACTACTTACGTTTGGGTATTGATGTATAAATATATAAAAATTTAATAGCAGACACTATGTTATTGTAAATAATAGAATAATATAAGTGATATATGCACATACAAGCATATTACACAAATTTTAAAGTATAACATAATCTATATATAACACACACATATATAATTAAGGTGCTTATGTCTGTTTTTCATTTATATATATATATATCAAAGACAATGAACCTTTTATGGGTCACGGACTGAAATTTAGTAATTAAAGTTTTTAAAAAAAATTGCACATGCCAGTGATATATGTTCATAAGTATTTACCAATGTAAAATAATATGTTTTAAAGATGTGTGGCTTAAAGAAAATTCTTAAAAATTGTCTAGCATCAGTTATATATTTTGTCAGTCTTAAATGTTTAAAAAAAACACAGACAGCATTAGCTTCATCCGACAATATATTATTTCTCTGTATTGATTTTAAATACTAACATAGTGAAATTTCATTGTTGTCTATGGAAAATGTGAGTTATTTTTTTTCCCATTAAATGCGAGATTAAACGAGAAAATAAAAACATTTTCGCGTACTTATAACATTTGGTCAATAAGACACTTTTGGCAAGAGTGCCATTGGTTTTCTACCCCAGCTAGTAATATAATAATAATATATTTATTTATTATTATGTAAACATATACGGCAACCTTCGATAGCGAAACTATAAGATTTACAAGTTCCATGGAAAAAAAGGAAATAGTAATCTCTATTTTTTTTTAGGTACCTATTATTATTGAATGACCAGAATAGTGAAAATTATCAATATAATAAATTTTAAAAATCTCAATATTTTTAAATAGAATTATTTTTATTATGTTAAATAATATTTTGAATGCAATAGATATTCTCGTGTACTAATAAAGGTTTATGCCCGTGGCATTTTGTTTGGTCTTTAATATTGAAGCTTCGTAGTATTAAAAACATTATAGCCATGTGTGTGTAAATAAGCGTGTCTGTACAACATATAATATAGCTACACTTAATGCGCGGAGGGTTAAATATGTGTTGTAACTCTACAGACAAAAAAGCTGCTAGATTTAACGGCAATTATTGTAATTGTCACGATTGTCACTTGCATATGGTATTCGTAAATAATAAATTTATTCTTGTTAAAACATACACATATACATTTTTATTTTTTTAATATCACTACGAAATTTGGCGATCAACACAACAACAGCAGTTGAGCACGCTCGGAAATAATGGCTGCGTTTTTAGAGGCGGCCTGGAAATTGTTGACGGCATTTAAACAGTATATTTACGCTGCAACTGCACAAGTCATTCAAACTTTTCACACACTTTTCAACTGACTTTTAAACAAATAGTTTGCTTATCAACGGAAAATGGCTAAATTCAACATTTGTCGACGACTCTTCATCGTCCAGGTAAAAAACCTTTGTGAATTAAACGACAGGAAACGGTTTACTTCCTACAAGAATAACTTAAACGTTCACAAATTTAATATGATTATCGTATTTATTTTGCATAAAAAAAAAAATGAATCATTTCTTTTCAACAGCTAAAATTTAAATAAAATATATTATTACAATTTTTTATATACTAACGATAAACTTCATTATTAGGAGCAATTAATATTGAATTAAATTCTCTCTTTTCTATAAGAAAATACGATATCAAGAAATACATTTGAAAAAAATTAATAATTGGTAATATGACATATTTATTTAACGGCATTAATATCCATAGACAATTTATATATTAGTATAGACTTTCAAAACCATTATTTATAAAATCTATTGCAAAAAATTTTGCATATCTTTATGATATCAATTACGTCGAATTGTTTTGTTGTTAAAAATAAATTTATTGTAAAAAATGCATAATAAGTAAACTTTAAATTATATTTTATCAAAATATAGTATTAGTTTAAGTTATTATCATTAAATAGTCTCAAATTAATACTTGATTATAAATATTATAGTAATTTTCACGATTTTTTAGTTTTTGTAAATTAAAAAATCATATAATAAAATAACATTTTTAAATTATTGTGCGACTTTTAAATAGCTATGAAAGATTATTAAGGATTTAAAAAATAAATTTAATATAATTAGATATTCTACCGTTATTTATCAACTTTGCTATTTAAATACGACTAAAATATAAGGTTTCAACTGTTTTTATATTGTTAAATTAACTTTCATTTAAAATATTATTGATAAAATTTCAATCAGTAACCAAGCATGTGAGTGAATGTTAAACAAATTTATTTATTTTACTTAAGTTCAGTCGAATTCTTGTATTTGTAAAAATAAAATAAAGATAAATAATACACTTATTTATACTCGAGTGGTACATTTAATTAAATCAATATTCTTATGACCCCCATACTTAATATTATACATACAAAAGAATTTAAACGAAGTCTAAAAAAGAAAATGATTTTTAAGCAATACTCATATATTTATGAACGCCAACATAAATCGTATTTTCATGCGGTTCGGAAAAAAAAAACGTTTATCTTCAACTCGGTGTGTACTTAACTGCACGACTCGTATATTACGTGCCGACAAAGTGTATGGAATATAGAGTAAAAAATACGATCTCTGCGGGTGACGATCGACGGCTATTGACGTATTTTACGATGTATGCTATTGCGTTTGCAAATTTCCAACAGCAGATTCAAAAACGTTAAACGACCTTATACAATGTGATTCACATTTTTTTAAGATTTCATTTAAATAAAAACGTGGTTAACGGTACATAAAAAACTATAAAAATAAAACTTTAATAAGTAGCAATTGGTTTTTTAGTGTACTTTTTAATTGGTCACAGATGTTATAGTTCTATTATACTGAATTCGCTATAACTTTTTCTAAGTTAAACATACATTTATAACAATTTTTAATATTCATAGTTTATTTTTATTTTTCTAATAGTTACAAATAATATGATTATTTGAATCACTTATTTTATAATCAACAATTTATTTTCTAAAATCACGATAGTTTCTTATTTGTTTATTATTTTACTTAAATTATATTATACTATGTGTACAAATAACTTGACTTTTAATAAATCAACGATTTGTAATGCTGAACAAGTTTAAATTTTCTATAAATACTTTCGATTTTTTATAAGCAAATTTATTTACAAATATTTTAAAACTATTAATTAGTTTTTAACGATAAATGCACGATACACTTAAAAAAAATATAGTGTTTTAATATGGCTTGCAAGCATTTTAAGTTTTGAAAAATGGCTCTCGAGTCACTTTCAGATGGCTATCCCCGGTGTATAAAAAAAAAGAGAGAGATACAGGAACAGGATAAACCACTAGGAAGGGTGTATTTAAATATTAAAACAATAATAAATCATTTTATTTGAACAACAAGTATGAGTGGAGCTCGGTTTTCACAAAATCGGTCAAGATTTAAAAACAGCTGGTTGTTTTGCAACCGTAATACATATTGTTTTACCGATTATATTTTCATTCACAAACGCATTTTCGACAACCAACTATTCTATATTATCGAATTTTACAAAGACAATACACGTGGTGGGTGAATCGTAACGTCATAATGACGTTGACGGACGCTATTTTAAGCACAGAAAAACAACGCAAAATCCACTCGGTGTGCGCCACAGCAGACTTGATGCTTCCAGAAAGCCAGTGAATATCGTAATAATATTGGTATGTAGTGTGATACAGCGTGGTTGCGTCGAATCCAGGGTCAAACGATTACGTCGACGGTGTGATTTATTATCGCGGGTGAGTTAATAGTACTCACGCGTATAACTTTCCGGAGAACTGCGTGTAATGGTTTACGGTTAATCACGACTAGGTTTCTGTGCGGCGCAGCGCAGTTGAATTTAAATCTTTTCCTAAATTACATCTACAACGGCCTTACGGAAAAACCGACCATTAAAAATGCATATAGGTACACTATTATATACACCCTACATCCGTTATTTACGCATTCACATATTCGCACCATGCAACGCCGTATGTTCATAATAATATCGGGCACATAGTGTATTTATCTTAATATCATCACAGCAGCTATCCATACACAATCGATATTACGTACCTAATTCCGGCCGTGTAAATTTTTTACGATGCGGAGAATCGACTTTATATGCATTAGCGGTCGTATGGTGACGGCTATGTGACTTACGCACATTACTCTTAGACTTGCGATAGGTAAGTGTATTATATTATGCGAGTGCTTAGGATTATTCAACCGGTCGCTTGGAAGTTTTACCGTTTTGTAAAAAATATAAAATTTAAAACGGCTACAAGAAAAATTGTTGATTTTGAGAATTTATGTACAATAAGGAAGGAGACTGTTATATATATATAATCTACCACCGCTACACTATGAAAAGCCAAAAATTACCATAATCAGTGTATTTTTTTCCTCTCAGTGGAGCGAAGTGTACACACTTATATCCTGTTTTCCTTTTCATTGGCCTAAAAATGAAATGAGTCGTGCATAACATTCAGTTTTGAAAGGTTACATAAAATAATCAGTAAAGAAATCTTTCTCCAATTACTCTAAAAAATATAAGAAATGAAACAATGCGCCGGAGAATCGTTTGTAATCTATAGGCAAATACACGTTCCGTATTTCTTCAATATCGAAGTTAAACAATGCGTTATGGGACAATCAAAAAGATAACAGCCATCTATGCAACGTTGTGTTTTTGACATTAAAAACAGAATCGTGATTCAATGATTGTTTTTCTTAGAAAAACTAAACATAAATATGTATAGTTAAATATAACTGCTATATATAGGGACTTTCGAATATCAATATGTCAAAATTCAAAAATGAATACAATATTAGAAACTATTGTATAATATTATAAAAATGGTAGTTTGGAGGGGGTGATGAATGGGAGATAAAGGTAGAATTTTCCATCGTTTAATATTTAAGGTCATACTGAGACGATCGTAGGACCCTTTATATTGAACGTTCTGGTTGTGTCTCCCCAAAAGAAAATATTGAGTTTCAATAAAAATATAATTTGTATAATACATTGTATTTTTCACCCATTTTTTATAAAAAAAATATTATTTATTTTTCAGTAATATTAACTATTTTTATATCATAGGTATAAATATTATATTATTTATGTATAGATTACTCTTATTTCGTAAATATCTCAAATAATAATATGATGAATACGGAAGAAAAAACAAATAAGAAGAGTAATAATAGGTCGATTCAATAGCCACATCCGAAAGAATTAACTATATTTCAAAATAAAAATCAGTAGGTGTGTTAAAATATTTATCATTAATCGTAAAAGAGCTAGTCAAAACGTTGAAATTGTCTGGAAACAAATCTACCTTCAACATTTAATAGTTTTTAGCTTAGAATTCACGTGTATCGCATATACACTATAACGGGGACGGTCAAACTTTTTTCGGCCGCGATCTACTAAAAATATACTTCACCTTTGAGAATCGACTTCGATAAAAGTTTTTATTATTATTAAGTTACTATACCACCATAATTAATTTTCGTGTGCGCAGCCTAAAAATAAATTCTAGCACGATCGACTTTAAAATTGTTTGCGATCGACTGTTTGGCCACCCCTGCACTATAATATAGAACAGTTTTTAATAAAATAATATTTTATACTGCCATTTTGAAATATTAATAAAATTTTATTTTTTATTTTGATCATGACTTAATTTTTAGGTCTTATTAGAACGAATTTCCACCTCTAATATTTACAAACTGTAAATTTCTTGACTCCTGATAATGTATAAAATATTTCTTTATTTTTATCAAGAAAGAAAACAATTTGAATACAATAATTCAATATAAACCACTAATTTTATCTGATTTTTGAGTATTTCAAGAGCCGTTTTATGACTCTCAAAGTCAATTAAAAAGAACTGAAAATCAGTATTTATACCTTAAAAATATTTTAGAAATATTAATTGTTAGAGTGTGCTGGAATTTATTACTTGATAACAGTTTATGGTGAAAGAAAATCTCAATAATTCATTGACAATTAATTTCGTTATTTTAGTATTAACTTCAAAAATATATAAGTAATTTGCATACGAACTGTTTTATAAGTCAATGGTGATCATGTCCAGATATTTTTTGTGATCTCTCTAACAAAATATTATATTGTTTATTATATTAAAACTAATATTTATGGTTGAATTTGTTTAAATTGTATGACTAAATAAAATTGTAATATTATAATAAAATAATCAGTCAATGCATAATACAATATTGTATTATAATATTGTAATATCAAATAGTTTACTATAAATAACGACAAATATGTCCTTTAAAAAGTGTTTTTTTTTTTTTTTTTTTTTTTTTTTTAAAGAAAGCTTAAAATTGGTTTTGCAAATATAATTTTTAAAAAGTAATGAGAAATGTTTACTTTTGACTTCCTCATTTCATTAACTAGATTTTTACTACTCTTTAATCCTTAAAGTGGTATCAGAAACATACATATCATAATTTATAATCCATTATATTATTATTGAAAAATTTATTAAAAACGCTTAGTTTGTGGCATTGAACAGAGCGAAAAGTGTTTTAAAATTGATTTGATCTTTTGCAGTAAATCGTCACTGCGAATTAATAAATTACTTGTATGCATTCAATAAAACTGCATAAAATGTTACTAAATCTCTGTTTTAAACGAAATCCTCAAAATATAACAATTCCTTTTATATGAAAATATTCAATAATTGTTTACATACAATACATAAATTGAATAAATGTATTTATTATTTATGAAGCAGCTATTTGATTACTAAATCCCCACAATAAAAATGTAATTTCGTTTTTGAAAAATGGATCAAGGTTTTTTTACGTGTTTAGCGTGAAAAATTTTGGTAAGAGAGTATGTTTAGACTTTGGTTTGTAGTTTCATTTTGTAACCAACGAAACACTTGTTATGAATTCTATTTGGTGCGTCTTTGCAACACCACTTTTTTTTTTACATGTTTCGGGACTATTTTCAAAGTTTTATATTATTTATTTTTTTACAAATTGAAATTTGGCCACATACGATACTTTAAAAATATATTTTTTTTTTTTAGAATTTCACAATATTTTTCTTCTTAGTTCACTCAAAATTAGAAAACAACCAAAATATGAGTCTTTTGAATTCATGATTAAATTTAGAATTAAACCTCATCGTTCAAAAAATATTCATTTTATTGTACATTATGTTATATAGTTATAACTTACTGTAATAAGGCATATATTAATTACATCAATTTTATTTCGCTGTTTACTTTAGGTATAATATGATTAAGTAACAATTCCATTATTTTAGCAAGTGCTAATAACTTTCAAAAAATTTCAATCTTTTGTTATAATGTTTTACATCGCTTTTGCACAGGTTAATTATTACGCCATAATTTCCACATATTTTAATAATAAAACTAACCATCAAACAGAAATTCCATCAATACGTATCTTTGTTTGTTTTCAATTGATATTTAAAAAAAAAAAAAAATGTTTATTGTTACTCATAGTAGGAAATAGTAAAGATGAATACTTAAAGTCCCATATATTACATTTAAGCAAACCACTTTTATACATTATGTACGCAAGTAGCACAATAATATCCGGAGCATTCAATACCGTATACATTTTTGTATACTGTGACATCTCTGTAGGTACCGTAAAGTCTACACTATTACACGATAAAATAACTATAATTGAGGTAAAAGCACAATAACGTGAGATGGCCATACGAAGAACATCTAATATAAATTTATTAGTTAGTAGGTAGCTAATATATTTTTCTAGCAGAAAAAAATAACAAAATCTTTTTGAAACTAAATATTCACTCTTGAATTGGTGCATATAATTAATTTTAAACTTATTTACTTTTATATTATTCATCCCTATGGCTTAATGATTACACAGTCAAGACGAAATTAATATTATCGCGATATATAGGTTAGGTACACTAATTTTTACCGATATTGTCATAATTGAATATCAGCGATCTATGTATGCTAGTATTTTATTATAATTTAAACTATTTGTTTTCAGTAAGTAAATTTAATTTAGTAATGTTTTAAAACAAAAAAACCGTCATTGGTTAAAAACTTTACACGCTATTCAGAAACTCTGCGTGGATAACGTTTAACAAAGTAAATTCATAATTTCGTTTGTTATTTTTATTTCAATATAAAAATTAACAATGTCATACAGCTGCTATAAACACGAAACGAACTTTAATGAAAAAGTTTAAAATCTACTGCAATAATTATTGTAAGTCGAGTGGAAGTCGATAAAATATTTTTCTGACGTTCAGAGATATTCGATTATTTTAACTCATTTTATCTTCGTTTTTACTATTTGTAGATTTCAATTAATCATAATAATATATGGTAAAAATATTACAGTGTTTTGGAAAATCTCTCTCAATAAAATAATTATTCAACATTATTAGTGCATTAGGCATTTTTAGAATAGATAAAAATCACGTGTCTACAGAAGAGACGGTATAAAACTGATTTCTGATTCATATCACAACTTATATTTTTATGTCAGAAATTGTACAAAATTTCGATTTATACATTTATTTATCTATACTACTTTTGATTACCTAACTGAATTTCGATAAAACTTAAAAATAATGTAATTTTCAATAATATTTAAACCGTAGAGGAAAAAGTGCTTACATGTACATGTTCAAAAATATCTTATGTTTGAATTAATTTATTTTTTTCATTTTACATACAATTATATGTATAACTGTAGAGAACATGAAAAATAAATTATATAACTTAAATAAAATTATATGTCTTATTTTAATAAATTAAATTGTAAAATTTAGTGCTTCATATCATAATATGGTATAAGTAAAACTTCCAAAAACTATCTAAAATCAATTTAAAATCCTTTTTTTATAATAATAATATTTCTTAGGTTTTTAACGTGAATCAATGATAAAGTAAACAATCTAAATGTACTAATTTTATTTTATTTTTATATTTATTTTTATTTTTTTTTTGCACTACTAGAAAAGGATTTTAATTCTTAAACTGTTACCAATTTAAAGATAATAATATTGTATTAGATCATGTGTTATTTTTAATTTTCTCATAAAATTACCAAGTAAGAAGTAAAAGTGTATTATGATCCTTAAGTCTCAATAGATGCTCATAATTCTAATTTTTATAAATAAATAACTTAATCAATAATTGAACTTTTTTACAAAGCATACTATTATAATACAATCTCATTACTTAATCGGTTTTATCTGAATGCAAATTTTTAATAATAGCAATATTTTTCCAAAGACACTTTTTAATTACATTTAGCCCTAAGAATAGCTGTCCTTTTTACTAGAGTTATAAATGATTTATACAATTTTTTACCATAAAAATCAATGATGATGATCATATTAACCATAATATTCTAATTAATATCGTTAGTCAACTAAGTATCGTCAAAATACTATTATTACGATTTCATTTTTATCTAATTAAATAAAACATTCACCAATATTCATAATTTCAAGACATATACTTCAAAATGATCCACCTGTCAAGTTTTTTATTCATGATTTTTATCTTAAACATTGTAATTTTAATTAACACAATGTTTATTCTCTGATGACCAAAAATTATTTACTTGTATTTTATCTATAGAAGATTGGTAATTCGTCCAAAACGAGTTTGAATTTCTGATAAAATGATGTCGATAGTAAGTTTTTATTGAAGTTACAACCTAATACAATACAATATTATGTATACTATTGTCAACAATTTAGTCAATTTCTTATACTTTTCTACAAACTTAAATTCCCGTAATCACATCAATAACAAATTTGTTTAGTTTTTAAAATTGTTAAATCTTAAAAAACGTCACAACTAAGATATACTAAATCCTTTAAAGCTCTTTAATCAATTATAATAATTTTTGTTTCTGAGTGCAGCGAAGTAATAATAATTATGAAAACCGAATCGTAAATTTTTACCGTAAATTTTATGTCTTCACATATTATTTCGCTTTTTTCTTAAAAAATTAAATGTACATATGTGGAACTTAACTATAATCATAAAAGCTATAGCTTTAGATTTATTTAATTTTAATCAATATTTATCTCGTTACAGTTAATTTGCATGACAATTTTTCTTGTAGAAGTCAAAGGATTTAATTTAAAAGGCATGTATAAAAAGTGCCTTACAGTCAGCAGAAGCATAGCCAGGTACAGTTAATTTATTATCATCAGTATTACTTCTTTAAATGTATACCAACGAAATTCTTATTTTTTTACTAACTTTTAGAGTCATAGCTAAAATTTTATAAGTTATAACATATTAATAATACAGTATAGTATTTTATATAGTATTGATATCACATCGTATTATATTATATGTAATACAAATATATATACTATTATGATTCATGCAAGTCCGGATTAAGGGGGGGCAGGAGGGGCCAAGTCCCCGGGGCCCACGTGTGTTAAGGGCCCATAGTTTTCTCGGTTTAAAATTACATTAAGTGATAATTTGTACTTTTTATAGTACCTACATTAGTACCTACAAAAATATTTATTTTTTCTTGTTTGAGCTAACAGTCGATGGTACCCGTCGACCGTGTTTACCACCAATAGTATGGTAAGTGGGGAAACATAGCGTCATAGCCAGGTTTGTGTTTGTTGGGAATAGACATATATTTTGATATTACTGTATTTAAAAATAGAATTGGGAAAATTTGTTTATGTAACTGTCTCGGTCATGGATACTCATAATTCAGATACCTACCAACTAAACCTGTTTACATAAACAAAACTTAATTTTATGTGTAAATATATATTTTAATAAAAATGTAATATTTTTTTAATATTTTTATCCCCATTAATCGTTATCATAATTAAATAAAAATGTTTAAATTTATTTTATTGTATAGTTTTATAATTTTAAAGAATTGTTTTTATTGACGGGGGCCCACAACCATGTATTGGCCCCTAGGCCCCTGAAACTCTTGATCCGGGCTTGGATTCATGATATCAAATAACAAACGATATTATAAATATCGAATACCAATATCGTAATATTAAAATTTAATTTAATAGTTTTTTTTTTTTTTTTATGTACACGAATACATTGTAAAAGTTTTATAAGTTTATAGTTTTATATTATATTATATTAAAACTATAAATAATAAACAATAAATAAAAATATAAAAAAAATTGTGTCAATCTTAGTCACATTAAATTTCTTATATGTGTAAACACTAACCATCTAAATGATATTTATGTAAAAGAGTATACTGTATAAACAATTTTCAAAAAAATATAACTTATTTTTAATAATTAGTAATATTCAGTAAACAATAATATAATTTACAACCGATAGAAATTAATTGTATCTAAAAATCAATAAGTATTCCCTAAGTCTCAAGAAATGTAATGATATAACTTTTATTAAAATCAGTCTAATGATTTCTGAGACGAGCTATCAACAACTTGCGCTCGTCACAAAAACTTGTTTTCGTTAATTTGCACTAATTTACTACAACCACTTATTTACAAAAAGAAGGTACCTTTGTATATTAATATCGTCCTATATCAATATAAAGAAATTCAAAAAAACACTAAGTTTTACAAAATATTTATTTCATATAATTTTATATCGTCACAAAACAACATTTTTAAAAACGAATATTTGTTATCTTTTATTTTTTTATTATTATTTAAATGATAGCATATATGTTTAAATTTAAATTACAAAAAAAATGTTATTCAGAGTACTTTGATTTATCAAAATCGTTTATTTCTGGTTTATTAATTCATTAACGTTTAAGGTTAGACGTGTCGAGAAATCAACAATAATTTTGTGGGATATCTATATACTCTTTTCTACTTATCTAGACTTAAAACACTTTAACTCACCAATTACCAGTCCAAAAAATATTCTGTTTTGAAATAAGAAACTATTTGTTATTAAAAAACAGCAAAAAATGTTTTAAAAAATATTGTTTTTAAACGACTTATAATTGTGTAAAAAAATATTTTTATAAAATATTGGAATTTCGGTACAATGATTACTCCGAAGAAAAAAAAACTATTGTCTGTCGTGAACAGGATACCATCGAAGCTGGCAGATGGCGGACAGTACGCAACGCATAAACTGGCCGGTTCAGTGGGAAATGTCGTCAAGCCAATACGGCCATTGAAGCATATCGTGGACGCGACCGGCGGAGCTATGTCAAATGTGATGGGATCCACCAGCCGACTGCTGGGCAAGTCAATGGATACACCGCACGATGTAATCTTCCTGTACAGCCGACCACTCGAGCATCTGGGCACATCAAGGACGTACCAGGAAGCAGTTCGAGCAGTCATCGCATACGCACTGACCAATGTAATGTTATACAATGAAGAAATGAATGAAGCGGCCGAAACGCCAGTAGACCTAAACACCATGCCCGTACTTAAGACTGTGGTAAACAAACTCGAGAAAGCCGGCGCGACCGAGGATGATATCGCAGACATCGTCAGTGTGTTGGGACGAAACGGTAAACAGGACATTCCCATCGAGATTCAACCACAGGTAGGTAGAGAATGACTACGCGCTAACACGTTATATAAGTTTTACTCTTATTGCTCGAATTTTGATTATCGACCTATTGTAACTACGTAATAAAAGCAAATCAATTTTTTCCCGTTTTGCTTCAAGTAGAGCCTTTGACATATCACAGGCATACAGGCCTTAGGTTTGACGCGGAGTGTTATTTGATAGTAGGATTTTAATTAAAGTTGCTAACCCATAGTCAAGGTAGAAAATCCGAAGCTTACGGGATTTTTCTTTTTAATAGGTAATAATAATTAAAAAAAAAACTCATTCCGCGAGAAACTAAGTACTTATATAAAAATAAGTAAATCGAATGTAAACAGATATGGTATGTCCAAGAAAGCTCAAATGGGCATAAAACTCATCCAAAAAAGAATATCAAATAAAAATACAGGAGAGGATGATAATATCGATGAGGAAAAAAAAAACATCTCACGTCAGAGGAATTAAAAATCATAAACACATAAAGATATTTGTATTCGACGTTGCCTCTCATGGTTAACGCATACATTGGAAAATAATAATTATATATATATTGATTTATGTATATCTAAATACAACAATAAAAGTGAGGATCTAAGGTGAGAATCATTAGGAAATATGATATATTTCATAATACACACTATATTACCACACATTTCGACATGGATCCACATTCCACTGGAGGGCACAATGACAAGTTTTGCTGCTTACTCCCTAATAAGTAATAACGATAGGGCCGCGCATGAAATATTAATGAACGTTAAAGTTATATCACTTGTTCCCCGATGACGCAATAAAGTCGATGGAGGACTAAAACATCGGAGAGTGGAAAAGATGTGAATATGATTATAATAATGAGCTGGCCGATCATCATGGTACGGTGTTGGGCGTCTTGCTCGAACCATACGAAAAAGTAGAGGGTGTGAGTGTGTATGCCGCACAGGCAGACGTAATCTTCCTTTAATCCGTAATCGTCGCGGACCTGGACACGCGGGACAGAAAACACTATCGCACATTACTTGCCGATTATAAAAATAATTAATTAAACGTACTCGTATATATTTAAAGTATTATCGTGTTTCATTCACTAAGTTCGACAAAGACTTGAAATAATTTCAACTATTGATTTCACATTATCAAACATTTCAAATCCCCCGTATTCATAGCCCTCCATTTTGTTTTTAAAGAAACTTGAATTTTTTGTATATTAGCAAGTAACTTGGCGCGTCAACGATGGACATTAACAATTAATTTCTGCATAAGAATTTGGCATTGTTTAAAATTAAAATTTTTAAAGTTAGGTACAATGCAATAGTCAATAAACTTTTCAAAAACATTATAATAAAGTCGTGATTTTAACCTGACATACTTTAAAAATAACTATTACAATTTTTAATTCAATTTGAATGATAAAATACAAATTTAGAGTATCAATAAAAATAAAACGTAAATTTAACCTGAAAATATATTTATGTAGATTGTACATAGCTAACTATAAAAATGTTTTTTCGTATTATTTTATTTTTATCTTAGTTGTGAAATGAATATTAAATTTACAGGGTTTTTATAAAATACTAACTTATTGTTACTTTAACTACCTATTTTATGCGTATATAAATAAATATCTGAAATAAGTTTTGATTATCATCAAAGACAAATAAACATTTTTAAATTTTAAATTCATAATACTATAATTATTATTATATAAATTTCTCTTAATAATTAATATCGGTACAAACGAAAACCATTAAATTAAGTGTGTGATTAGTCATAACTAAATATTATAAAATCGTTTAGATTCTAGTCATTATTTTGGTGCCTCTAAATCTAATTACAAACTTATAATATTTGTTATAAATTGAATTATTTTATTTTCTTTATGGTATAAAAGGGTTAAAATAATTATTAATTAATTTAATTCAAATAAAATGAGTAAGTACTCTGTTATTGAGTTTAAGGAACCGTAGTCCATTAAGTGATTATACTATTAATATAGTTTTATTCAATTAATCTGTGTTAAAACACTCACTCGATAGTAACAAAAGAAAGTTCACGTTTACAACATTTAAGTGTATTATTTTAAACGTGTCACTATATTTTTATTGATTAATGAAAAATCAAATCAATACAATTATAAGTCATTATCTTACAATGAAAACAATTTTAAAATATAATTTAAGCAACACTATAATATGTACCATATACTAATATACATATAACCATCGAATAGTATCGGGAACTAACTAATGTAAAATATTACGCGTACCTATAATAAATAATATCATCAACAATGCATTATTAAATTTATAGAAATATAATGTATAATTTTTATACATATTTATTTATTTGTTATTTTTTTTTTTTTTTTTTTTACAAAGAAAAGGTGAGGTTTTTTTAATTAATTTAATTACATAGACTTAAGCAAAACGTAATGCATTCATCATTGGTACACATTTTCCCTTCCCCTGAAAACAAATTAAATTATTAAAACGCTTATATGACAATAGAGTGTGTGTTATTATACTCATTTCCGTACCTTTGGGTATATATTATTTACCTAAGCGTATATAACGCACCACTTATTCACATGCTCAATTCTATTTGAAAACGTGCTGCGCGCACGAATATAATTTTATTATAATCATTAAATTTCTAATTTATGTATTTAAAAAGAATTATCCTCGTAGTATTATTATTTTGATCGTTTTATTATAATTTATTGTTCGATCATATAAGACAAATAAGAATTCGCGAGCTCACAAGTGTTATGTCGTTTAGTAATATACGTATGATTTTCACGAATAAATTCTCCTCATAATATTTTCATTTATTTATACTGCGTATAGTCATACTATTGAAATAAAAAGTAACGTATTCTTTAACTCATACTTTATAGATTTCCATAATGACTTGAATTATTTTTAACAGACGTATTATAATAATAAATATTTTTATTTTATAGTTCAATTTATATAAAAAAAATAATAATCATACTAAATTAAATCGAATAAATGTCGGAGAGAACATAATTTGTATGCAAGTATATACAGGCCAATTCAATATAAAATTTGTAAAACTGACTTTCGATCAAAAAATGGATAGAAACGAAAAACAAAATCATTGTATTCTAGTGAGACTCATTACATTAAGGTACAATAAATATTATGCATGATGGTAAGATAAATAAAAAAAAAATAGTAGTTACATAGTTAACTTGGTTAGAGAAGATTAATTTATAACAGAAATTAACGAAGATGAACAACGAAATAAAAACCACATACCTATAATATTTAAACCGACGCATTTTAAACCTTATAAAATAATAACATTTTTACGTATTATGTTTGGTGTGTTACGACTTAATAACTGGGAACCCTTTTCAAAGTTTTTTGTTTTACATATCTTAATAAAATTAAGATCATTTAAAATACGTTAGCAAATTGACATTAATATTTACTGAACCAAATTTTTAACTATATCTACTAAAAAAATAATACGTAAACAGAATAATATTTCAATGTAGTTATAATCATCGTGCAGATTTTCTTATCAATCTTCACAATTGTACAATATACAATAAATATTATATATTATACTATAGAACAAAAATTGAATCGAACCAACATTTTTGTAGATTACGTTTAGTTCTGTAACACTATTTTTGCAATTACTAAAAGTAGAAACATAATTATATAACATCGCTTTAGTGAGCTTAAAATGAACTACGTGTTCTAATGCAACAATGTAAATAATTTTTTTTGAATATTGTTGCCTGAATAATAAAACAGCTGGCATTAAGCAACTACACGCTTATTATACTCAAACCAATAGTAATTTAATAATGTATATGTTTTAATATAATAATAATATCCTACATAAAAGGCGTCTGTTTAACCACACACACAGAAATAAGTACTATTTTAAAATTAAAATATGGCATGAGTAATATAAATAAAACTTCGAGACTAAATTGCAAATATGTAAAATTCTACGTTGGAATATCAAGAAAATAATTTCCGCTAATCGTTTTTTTTTTTTAAATAATAAAAAAAAACAATAAATATATACTTATTGGTATACGTATTATGTATTTATAAAAATATGCCAAAACCAAAAAATTACATCAAATCATTGTATTACAGATAGTGTACTGTAAAATGAAAAACAATAGGTATACAATTATATAAAGATAAACAAAGAAAAAAAATCGTAAATTGAAAGTATGTGAAAACTATTGAAAGATAATGATAAAAAGTATTTAATTGAGTACGCTATTTCATTGTATAACTTGCGTTTAATACTATTATGTCCTCATTATATCTAATAAATTATACCTATATAATTATAGTCTTCCGTCATTAATCATCTAAGAATATAAGATGTAAATTTGAGTATTATACGAACTACGCCAATAACATTTCACCATAATGCATAGCAATATAATTTGTTGCTAAATGTACGTTGACATTACGATTCAATGCAAATACGAGATTTAATTCAAAATTTATCAAGACTTTTCAATTTGGGTGAAATTACACCTAAAACGTTTTACAGGATTAACCATACTGTATAATGATGATATAAAACCCATTCATAGTATACAATACAATACATTATATTATCATGGTTTTTCAATATAATATCGTAAAATGCTTAACGAAAAAATCACTAAGCTCATTGACGTAATAAATATACCGGTGCACCTAACCGACTTGTATTCAGATAAAATAATCACATGACCAAATTAATATAAAAAAGCATTGTTTAGAAGATAAAATCAACTAGCCTTTCTTAATTACAATTATTATTATTATTATGTATATTTGAAGCACTTATGCCCGCTATGAACTAGAACTAAACACCATTCCGTCTCTTAAAAGACGAACATTTCGTTTAATTTTGTAGATACAGTAATGATTTATTTTCAAATCGTATAGAAAAGTTGTAATTTATTAAGTTGTTTTTATTTAAATCATGATAATGTTGCAATCCGAACACCGAATATTCATTAACACACTACTGCCATTACCATACTCATGGGACTAATATCTATTTCCGTTTAGATTCTCTGCGATAAGTTGTTCACACAGTTGTTATCGAAATTTATATTTTTTGAAACATATATTTTTTTTGGTTCTTTACAAAATACCTTGTGGTTTAAAAGTGGTTAAGACACAATAATAGATTTTAATAATTTTTTATTCCTAAGAATTGATATTGTTTTTTTTTAACAAAGATTCACGAAAACCAAAAGAAATTCTATACTATGGTCGATTTTTAGATTTATACCAAGGACATACAAATGGACATTAAATTTTTGATATTTATCAATGAATATAATTATTATACCTGGCTAAAATTTAAGTTTTTGAATATTTTTACATAGTGGTGAAATTTTTCTAATACCTACAATACTTATCGAGTTTTTAAGAAACCTTTTATATAAAAGTCGTACATGTTGCATGTGTAAAATAAAATATAATTGCCTTATTTAATTGCATACAATAATAATATATCGTATTTCAACAAAGTAATATATAATACGGCTGTTCAAAAATGATGATATTATGTTATTTATTATATTAAATAGTTTGTTTACCCACAGGTTCTTGGCATTCTAAAAGATCGAAAGGGGAATTTTAAAAATGATGGGCCCATGACGGAATTACGTTGGATTGCAGAGCACCCCAATGGATTCTATAAGATGGATGACAAAGAAAGGACTGATTACAAGTTAAAGACGGAAAAAAAGTATACGAAGTGTACAGTTTTACACCCATCACTTTCAAATACAATAAATAAATAATTTAACGCGTTCTCTCAGACTTTCTAATCCTAATCGATGGAAATTAAATTAATAAATTATTTATTCATGAAATAAATCTAGATTTTGGTGAGTTTTATTACATTTTTGACATTATTTTGATATTAAGATTAAATAATAGTATAAATCAGTATGTTTGTTTATGTTTGTTAATTTAATTGAACAGCTACAGTTTAGTTAAATTATTCCTAAGAATGTAGCCAATATCTGTGAACACCTTTTTACATAATTATTGCGTTAGAACGTCGTTTAAACCCATGTGCAGCATTTTTAATTAAATTAAACAGGCGATGTGAACGTCGCAACTAACACATCATTGGTTAGTAACCTAATATTAATGAAATAGAACATATTGTTCTCTTCTATATAAAAATATTTCAATAATACATTTTCTATGTTATATTATAGTCTATAGAATATAATATTAATATCAAACAAAATATCCAGAATTTTTATTGTTAAATGCAATAATTTAATTATTTAATTATTTAAAAACGGCGTTATGGGTAGACAATTTGGATACAGCATTACCGTGGATTTATTTAAGTCGTATCCCCATATTATTATAACAATATTTCGTTCATTTATTCCTATTTCAAATTAAAGAAAAAAGGAGTTAAATGAGTAATCGCTCTACAGTGAAGTAGGTGTCGACTGTAAATATTTATTGATAAAATTATTATAACACATGTGTTTATTTTAAAATTCAATAAGAAATCATTGCGTAAGAAAAATAATTTGAATTATCTAGATCAAAACAAAGTAAAATAAATAAAATTTATGAAGATAAATATGAATATAATACATTTATCTAGATAAACATATAGAGAATTACATCTTTTTTTACATTTATTTCTATATTTTTGGTACAATTTTTTAATAATATAAAAGTTGACGACATGCTATTGACGACACCAATGCATAAATATGTATAACTCATACATTTTAAATCAAATGATCAAAAAAAAAAAAAAAATATTAATTTATATTTTAATATATTTTATAAAAAAAGATAAAATTAAAATTAATTTTGTAAAATTCCTATACGCATATAGGCTATAGTCATTTGTAATAAACTAGCTATCAAGGACGAGCTATAAAACAAATAAATACTAAATAATAATGACGTCAGAATATTTTGGTGGGGGGTGGGAGGTTAAGGGTTAGGTATATAACAGGGATAGAACTAAAAATTTTATCAGGTCAGAATAAAGAAAGCAAATAAAAAGTCTTTCAAAATTGTGCATTTTAATTCGAATTATTTTGTTTATAATGTAAAATTATTTAAACTGCATTACATCATAATTTTCTTATTTTAATCGCTAATTTATTGAATAATTAAAAATATTAAACTAATAAATAAAAATCAATGGTGGGTGGAGGGGTTACAACCCAAATCCCCCTGGCTACGCCACTGCTAAAATACTCAATTTACAATTTTAGATAGTTAAGTAATGTATATAATAATTAATATTTATACTATATATATATATATTATTTTTACAAAATCGAATGGCCTATACTAATTCATTGATAATCAATTTTTAAAATAGTTGTGCCATACACAATGATTACCCGATATTTAATTATGCCTTATTGAGTATATATTTTTTTGAAGAAAAAAATGTAAATTTATTAATTTTTAGAGGTACTATACTATTTTAAATATTTAATTAATTCCCAACACTAGATAGATTGAATTAATTTTTGCCGAAAACATTGCATTTTTAAGACGTCATTGTATGTATAAAATATAATAATTAAGTTCAAAGTTTCAAATTCTCATGAATAATATTTTTAAACTACACCAAAATAACTAATATTGTTATTATTGTTTAAATATCTAATTTTTTCCAACTTAAAATAACTAAAAAAATTTTTTTTAAATTTTTAGATTTTTTAGTTACATAATAAACTACTTATGAGAAACTTTTTATTACATTTTCAAACCTTAGCTATAATAATTAAATACTATATTATACATTTTTTTCTTTAAAAAAATTAGAAAGTTTTTATGAATTTGGCAAAATATTTCTTTAGAGATTTATAAAAATAAATACTAAAATAATAACTAAAAACAGTTGTCATTTAAGTATAGTACTACGTTGATGAGTCATAGTTCGTTTGCCGTTTTATTGATATTTAAATATCACAGTTTATTAATTTAATATAAAAAAATATGTTGAATAACTACATAATAAGACAGTATTAAAAACAATATTGTAATAGTAATAATATATTAAAATATTATATTGTAGCGTAAGAAACATTAATAGACAAATTAATTACATTTTAAATAACTTATTAGAAAAGAAATACTAACAAGTTTTATTTAAGATCAATTCTTTCAGAATCTATAAACAAAAAAACAAAATACAAGCTCCACAAATCGATAAATTGTTGTGTAAAAGTTAGCATCGTAAAAAACTCTATATTATATTATACTAGTATTTAAACATATTATTTTAAGAAACTTAATGCAATTAAATATTCAACGTTGTTATACACAGCACCAATTGACATCAGTTGTGTTTACATTTTTAAGTTCTTTATATATTTTTAAGTTCTATACTTTATGCTGTATATAATGTACAATACACAATATCGTTATCAATTTTTAATTGTTGAAAAAGATAACGTTTAGTTTAATCTTGCGCAATTGCGCAATAATCATTACTTTGAATACAATTTTAGCAGCTGCATTTGAGCTTCGTTATTACAATTGAACAATAAAATCTTTAAGACTCGTTAAAAGTGATAACATAAATAGTAATTTAGCTTATATCGGATAATTTTATGTTTAATAGTGTAGTGGTTAATTGTACAAAATGTAACTTTTTATTCTAATGGTAGTCCAGAAACAATACATTTATTTTTCTAATTATAAAATACGTAAACACGTTTTAGATTAGATTTTACCTGATTGCTATAATAACTAATAGAACATTCTATTATTTTTTTTTTTTATTATTGCATATGTGCCATAGATACCCTCAATTCCCATTTTATATTTCTTAACCTAACCTAATCTATCGATCACATATTACAATGTAAGATGGAGAGATCCAAATAATATACAAAGATCGATTTATTATCATAGTATAAATGAAAGTGTAATTTTAATATAGAATTATTTAAGAGTTCGTCTACTACGGTAACCTCTAATTCAGAAAAAATTGTATGATAAAAATAAAAAATTGATCGCATAAACTGCATGAAGCGTGAAGAACAAACCGTTGGCAAAAACTATAGACTATCAGGTAAAGGTAACGGGTCATCGAGCACATAGAATCACAACGGTTTATATGTGCATAACTTTATAAATATTGCACAAAATAATAAATTATAAGCATATAGGATGATTTTTTTCCAACGTTCGTGATCCTGTCCATTTTCTGTTTTATTTTTTTATAAATCAGCTATAGACTTTGTACAATACAAATTTAAATAAAAAATTAATGACTGATTTTCGTATATATTATTGTATAAGTACGCTAATATTCCCAAAAAGATATAATATTTTGAAGTTGAAAATTTAAATAATTAAAAATACAATACAAAAACCTCAAATGAAAAGTACTTAAATCATACTATGAAAGATGTTCACTAAAAAAAAAAAATCATAAATATATGTTACGCACCCTGTAAAAATTATCTTATATTATGGATAATATTGTTATAGATTATTATTATAGATCACCGATAACGATAACCAAATACTATGCTCCGCACCGAAGCTTCCGATGAATAATGATTTTGGAATTCGTCATAAAATATTCAGCTTTACTTCGATACCACAAACCAATAACTGCTCGAACATAAAATATTATTTTTTTTTTTTAGAGGTACATGCTTTAATATCAGACTATTTAAATCTATATTGTTTGCTTATAAATTATTGCAACATTATATTGATAGTTTTTTTACTTAAGTCTATATGTTTAAAAAATGATTTGTGTTGATTTGATAACATTATGTTTATTCAATTGTATTGGATATTTTCCATGACGAGTCGCACGATAGACTGAATTCTTTATTGTTGATCAGATATATATGAATGGGTAAATTACGACTACACGATTATCTTATTATCAGGATAAATTTGATTATTTTTATGATTATGTATTCTATCCTAATCTAATTAACTTGATATGCCCTTTGGTATTTGGTATTTGTTTTTTTTTTTTTTTTTTTTTGAGTGTTTGTTGTAGACGAAACCACTTCGTTAGCCATTGTATACATTTTTTCCGTTTCCCAGGATGCCTACATGAGATGGAACCCACATAAAAGTGATCTTTTTCAATCTTAATGAACTCCAAAAATATTTTTGAACGTACTTATTCATTTTAAGATATTTATTTTAAAGTAAAGTTAAGGACTAAGCAAATAGCTCATATTATTATAATTTAAAATATAATATTAGGTAAAAAATATCATTTCGCGTGCATATGTGTATGTGTGTGATGTTAAAAGGGTGCTACATCAATCTCATCTGGCTCATATGTTATAACATACACTAACCAATATAATATAATTTATAAACATATATTATATATTTATAGATCAATGATGCTAAAGTATATCGTGATGCGCCATCGGTCAGCCCACCTGGTTTATTATAATAACAACAATATCATCATGTAAACTACAATATAGGTTGAAATGACCACGTCGTCGGTTGCTGTCGTCTAACCCGCACTCGCACACCGCAATATAATACACACATAATGCGCATAACGCGTAGTAGATTAACCTATCTATGTATTCAAAATTGTACACAACTGAATTGTATATCACAATATACTACACAGTAGTAGTTTATAATATAGTATAATAGTATTATGCGTACCTACATATAGAGATACGTAATAATTCACAGGCATGCACATACGTACAACATTACGCGTGCCTCGACTGAATCACATCAAAGTGAACCGTTCGGCCATGTCAAACATCAGAGAGATTCCCGTGCCTATATATTTATATAGATAGTATACTATACTGTGTATAATAAATGAATATAATGTATTGTGTATGTGTATATTGCATATTTAAACTAACGTAGAAGCATCTTATTTG